GCCTCAGCCTCCCAGAGTGCTAGGATTACAGGCGTGAGCCAGAAAAGATATTCTTGTTAAAAATGCTACCTCCCCTTTTAACGAATTCTAGAAAACTATATTTTGAGAGCTCATTTTTCACCCATATGAATTTAAAAGCTAGAGACAGTCACTTTTTCTTTCTGCGTATCCCTAAAGTTAAAATAATCATAAAGGCCTACTCATCTAAGATTTAAAAAGAAAAAAGTTTGAAAAAACAGTATAATATCTATATCTGTAAATTTAATAGGGGAAAGAAGCATTAACTTTGTTCTTGCAATTTAAGAGAAAAGCAGGTCAATATTAACAAAACACTAAAGAGAATATATGTGATCATTTAAGATTTGTCACTTCCAGGCCTGGAAGTGGCTCACGCCTGTAATCCTAGCTCCCTGGGAGGCCGAGGCGGGCGGATTGCTCGAGGTCAGGAGTTCAAAACCAGCCAGAGCAAGAGTGAGACCCTGTCTCTAAAAAAAAAAAAAAAAAAATTTTTCACTTCCTTCCAAAAAAAAAAAAATTAAGGCAGAACAGAAGAATCCAGAAGTGAGGTGATATAAAGAGAAATAAAAACAGGCTGGGCGAGGTGGCTCACGCCTATAATCCTAGCACTCTGGGAGGCCAGGGCGGGAGGATTGCTTGAGGTCAGGAGTTCGAAATCAGGCTGAGCAAGAGAGAGACCCGTCTCTACTATAAATAGAAAGAAATTAATTGGCCAACTAATATACATAGAAAAAATTAGCCGGGCACGGTGGCGCATGCCTGTAGTCCCAGCTACTTGGGAGGCTGAGGCAGTAGGATCGCTTGAGCCCAGGAGCTTGAGGTTGCTGTGAGCTAGGCTGACGCCATGGCACTCACTCTAGTCTGGGCAACAAAGCAACACTCTGTCTCAAAAAAAGAGAAATAAAAACAGATCCCTGGAACTCTAAGATCACATTACAGTGGGTGCCATTTAGCATAAGGTAAAAAAGGAAGGAGTGAAAATCTGGATTCAGGAAGTTATGAGAGTACTGTGATATAGTGAAAAAGAATTAGTAATTCTTAAATACTCAAGTCTAGCAAAGAAAAATACCAAATATCCTACAGAAAAAAAAATAGGCTACAGCTTCCTAGCCTAATGGCAGGATTCATGTATTAATAAATAGTCAGTGACAATGCAATCTCAGGAATATATCAACACCACAAAAAGGGACATTTCCCCACCCAAACTCCAACCTCAATTTGTACTAATACTAAAAATAAATTGCTTTGAGAAACTACCTGTAGTATCCATCAAAGAAAACGACATGTATTTCAAAAAATTTTAGTAAAGTTTCTTAAGCAGAAGCAGTTAAGTAGGCATGACTTTAAATTGTATGCTTCTTGGCCGGGCGTGGTGGCTCACGCCTGTAATCCTAGCACTTTGGGAGGCCGAGGCGGGCGGATGCTCAAGGTCAGGAGTTCGAAAGCAGCCTGAGCGAGACCCCGTCTCTACCAAAAAATAGAAATAAATTAATTGACCAACTAAAAATATATATACAAAAAATTAGCCGGGCATGGTGGCGCATGCCTGTAGTCCAGCTACTCGGGAGCTGAGGCAGTAGGATCGCTGAGCCCGGAGATTGGAGGTTGTGTGAGCCAGGCTGACGCCACGGCACTCACTCTAGCCTGGGCAACAAAGTGAGACTCTGTCTCAAAAAAAAAAAAAAAATGTATGCTTCTTACATATTGTAGAGCTCCATATGTATACTCATGTAGATGGTTTTTTCCATTATCTTTGCTTAAGGAGTAGACAGTTTGAAAAGCTTCTGCACCCCTTTTACTCCTACAGTAAAAACAAAAGGACAGTGAACATTCCTGTCCAGGACCTTTATTCTCCCTAAAACAGGGGTGAAACCTGAGCCACCTGTGAAGAGATATTCCTTGAGATATTCCTCAAGTGTGTATAAAACCTTCTAAAAATACATTTGCATCCAATTGTCAGTTGGCGCTTTTTCACTTGGACAGGTCACTCACTTAAAAACAATTTAACATTTGTGTACACTGCCAGACTGCGTACTGGGAATAAAAACAGAACATCAACTTTGCTCCATAAGGCACCCTATTCTGAATAAATAAACGTGACACCAGGGAAAGAGCTGATATCTGGGCAGTTATTGCTACAAAGAGCTTTAGGGGCATAAAAACGCTCATTCAGCCTATGTTTTACTGGATACCTTTTTCTGAGTGACTTTAATCGCGCATTACCAGTACTGAGTGGCACAGAGAGCGCACTTAATACACAGAACCTATTTGATTAATGAGGAAAGAAATCTAATGATGAAAGTCCTTCAGAGAGTAAATTTTTTTTTTTTTTTGAGACAGTCTCGCTTTCTTGCCCAGGCTAGAGTGAGTGCCGTGGCGTCATCCTAGCTCACAGCAACCTCAAACTCCTGGGCTCAAGCGATCCTCCTGCCTCAGCCTCCCGAGTAGCTGGACTACAGGCACGAGCCACCATGCCCGCTGATTTTTATATATATATATTAGTTGGCCAATTAATTTCTTCTATTTTATGTTAGAGAGAGGTCTCGCTCAGGCTGGTTTTGAACTCCTGACCTTGAGCAATCCGCCCGCCTCGGCCTCCCAGAGTGCTAGGATTACAGGCGTGAGCCACCGCGCCCGGCCCAGAGAGTAAATTTTAAAAAGCCACAGGAAGGAATAAAGGGAGAGATATAGCAAGAACCTCTTTTTTTTCTTTTTTTGTTTCCCCTTGTCTAGAAAAACAAGAGCCCCACCTGTGCACACGCCAGACCAAAGCTCCAGCCTCTGGTAGTAACAGAAAGCGACTGGAGCTCACACTCGGATCTTACCTCCTGGATGCGCTTCCTAGCCCGCTGAAGCACTTCTTCGTAGCCCTTCTGCCTCAGCTCGCTGAGGCTTTCATAATACTCCTCGGGATCGTCGGTCTCAGTAAAGAGCACCTGGGAGAGGATCTTCCAGCCGCAGGTGTCCAGGCCGTGGCCCAGGTAGACCTGGAGCTGGTAACACAAGGTGTCGATCTCCTGCTCGGTCATCTCGGGGGCGCCCCCGAACAGCACAGTCCACATGCCCGAGGGTTCCTCTGGGAACACCGGCAGGCACGGCTCCAGCTGCGAGTTGACGGAGCATAGCTGCTGGTGCACGGCGCGCAGGTCCTGGAAGGAGAAGAGTCCGGCCCAGCTGCACTCTTCGGCGGGAGACTCCAGCTCGGCGCCGGCCGGCGGCTGCTCCGCGCCCGCCAGGGGCGCCTCGTCCTCCCTCACCATTTCCAGCACCTCGATCTCCTCGGAGACGGTCCCGGAGGCGCTCACTACCCGCACGGAGGACACCGGAGCCTCTCTGGGTGCCGGCCGGGCTGCCGCAGCGGCAGCCCCCGCTGCATCCCTGGCTTCGGATGCCCTCCGGACCGGGCTAGGCTTGGCCCGCACCGGGCTTCTGAGAGAACTCTCCGCTCCTTTGCCGCCCGGAGTCCGCAGCAGCGGGTCTCCCCGAGGGCTTCGCGTACTCCGCGGAGAGCCGCCCTCTGCCCAGGCCGCGTTCCGCCGGGGCCCGGGGCTCCTGACCGGAGTCGCAGAGGCGGTGGCCTCGGGCCGGCCCTTGCCCGCCGGGCTGCCCGGCCCGCGGCTCGCGTCCGACGCAGGTCCGCCGGCCTCGGCGCCCCCTCGCGCCCCCGCCTGCTCCCGGGAGCCGCTCCTCTGCCTCTGGGCCGTCCGGTTGTGGCAGGTTATGGCAAACTTGCCCTCGATCTCGTTCCAGGCCACAATAAACACGAACTTGTGCTTCTCGCGCTCGTCGAACACATGGGGCCGCACAGCCACCCAGTCCGACTCGAGCGTCTCCTCCAGCGCGAACGACATGGTGGCGCCGGCTTGGGGCCGCGGAGGTGGGCCGCCGGCCCTGCCCGCCCGAGGACGCCCCGGCTGGCTGCGCCGCGCCCCCCGCTCACCCTCGCCGGGCGCCTTCAGCCATCTTAGCGCGCCGGCCGGCTCTCCCCGCTCGCTCGCCGGTCCCCCGCACTCGCACCGCCGAGCTCCTTTGTGGCGCTGCTCGCGGGAAGGACAATACGCGTCCCGGGAGCAGGTAGTTCACATGGTCACGTGCGGCCGGATCTGTTTACAAGCCCCGCGCTGCCGCAGCGCCTCGCGGCCGCCCGCCGCCCCCCGCGCGAGGCCGTGGGGCTGCGTATGCGGCGCTCTGGCGGAGACGCGCGGTCCCGCGGGGTCCGGCCGGCGAAGTGTGCGTCCCCGCAGCTCGCCCCAGCCGATCTCCCCCGCCTCTACCCTTCCTGCTGCCGAATGCCCGGGACCGGCCTGACGGACGGACTCGTCTCCTAAACTCTAAGCCTCAGCATCGCCACAATGTTGCCATTCGACTGCTGACGTCGGCGGCTCCACGAGGGACGTAAACACGGGCACGTGCCGCACGCTGGTGACGCGGCTCCGGCGGCGGCGCGCGCACCCGCCTCCTCGGCGCGCGCCGGCACCGCCCCTCCGCGTCCCCCAAGGCTGCCAGCGAGCGGCCGCGCTCCCGTCGCCTTCCTGCCGCGCAGCCTCGTTCTCCCCGGGCCGGAGGCCGCGGCCCGCCCGCTGCGTCTCCCGGCTCCCAGCGCCGTGAGAGTGGCAGGTGTGCGAGGATGGTCAGGTGGCCTTCGAGCCCAGAGAAAGAGGAACAAAGGCGGAGGAACTGAGACTTTTGGAACTCTAGGCATTCAAAGAGCTTTTCAAATGTAAATTTGCTTTCCTTGCGCTCTGGAGGAATCAGGACGCACAAGCTCTGAGTTTAGAAAGAAGTACCCTGAAACAGAGGGGCAACTATGCGCTAAACTTTTTTGGGTTTCCCAAACTCTTGGATTCTCCCCTAACACCCTTGAGACAAAACTTAAGATATGAAAGGTGTCCGGAGACAACCCAGTTAACACTCCAAAACAAAATAAAATGAAATAAAAATTCGGTCACGTCCTGAGAGTATGAATGTTCACATTTCAGTTCATTGGTATTTTATTGCTTCAAGTTTCATCATTGTGTACTGTTCTGTGAACCTCGTTTTGAGGTCGCTGGGCTTTAGCCCTTTTGAAGTTGTATTCAATTATCAGTGTTCCCAGAATGCACATACAAAAAAAAAATCATGTCAGTGTGAAGAACTCTTCTATTCCTACTAAACTATGATGAAACTCGTTCTTAAAATTGCCTAGTAGATTTTACAATCTAGTTTATGTTATCAGCATTCTCTTTCCCATTAGTGTCCAAGTCACAGTGCAGGTATTGTGCGCCATGGGAAAAATACAATGGGAATTATTTGTTCTTTTATTCACATTTCTAAAATATATGCGAAACCATTGGGATTAACCTTGCATTGTCAGCTAAACTTAGTTCAGTATGGTCCTGACTTCTGAATTAACAGCCAAAAATTTTAACCCTGTCACTTAGCTAGCTAGACATTATAGGTCTGCTTTGACACCCCACATCTCCCCTCTCACAAAAGGCTCTTTGGCCAGGATGGGCAAAATGGAAAAAGGACTTTGGTTTTTAACCTTTTTACACTCCTTTATATTCAAACACAAATTTTCCAAGCTTTTAACTGTGAACTTTGTGTCAACTCAAAAATGCAAATCAAAGACACCTTTTGAAAGGCAGAAAGAAAAAGATAAAACCGATTTCATCTTTATTTATTTATTTTTGACCAAATGTGTTCGTGTGTCCACAGGATTTTCTCCTTTTTTAAAAAAACCGATTTCAAATGAGAAATAACCAGCTAAGCAAAGGATAGCACAATATAGAAAAATTTCCCTTCTTTTCTGCTAAAAATTAACTGCTAAAAGGTTTTCTAACAAACATTACTGACATGATCACATTGTATATAGCAATGCATACGGAGAATGAGTGCTAAAAGAATATGTTTATAAGAAATATTTTGTGTGCATATATATTAAAATTATATTTATACACATTTAATTGAAAGCTGTTTCCTGTAATGTAAAAAAAAGAAAAAAATTTTTATTTAAATTTTAATAAAATAAAAAATTATATTTATACACATTTAAAATTACATCTTATCAATAGTGCTATACACAATTGGTTTGTGGTTATATAGGTGTTAAGTACTTCCCCCCTATACTCTGGCTACTATGTTTTGTCAAAAAAGATGCTTCACTGTTTTTTGTTTCCTCTTAGTAGTTGTTAGCCTAGAAATGAAAAGAAACAAACCAAAATTCCCAGGACAGTTTACTGTTGTACTCTACAATTCTTTATTTAGGTCTGTATCTGATTGTCAAGCAAGATCTCTAAGTGTATAAATTACTCCCTGGGAATAAGTAAAGCTACAGAAAAACCACATACACCATACCAGCCTTTTGAAAGGGCTTGGAAACTATTATCTGTTTGAAGTTTTTAGAACTATTGAGCATTGTTAGGTAATCTGGGAAATGCTCTAACTCTCTAGGCCTGTTAACAAAAACTATAATAGTTTACATAGAGATTTGCAAATTATAAAGCATTTTCCTGCACATGTTCATTTTAAATATTTTTAAAAAACTAAATATCTTTAATTTTATACAGGACTAAACAACAGTTCTGATTAGTTAGGTCACACATCCAAGGGTTGGAAGCAGGAAACAACTTCGGTTCAGGGGCCTGGTTCCAAATCTACTGGTGTCCAGGTTAGATTTTCCCAGAAGCAGACACTGAACAGTTAGGAATATAAAAGTTCATGGTGGGTAACACCTATGAAAGAGAAGGGGCAGAAGCAGGATTGGGCAGGCTAGTCCAACAGGGAGTTCCAGGGCACAGATGGTCCCTTAAAGAAGTTCCCCAGTGGATGGATATGGTTAGGCCTTGCTCAGTCATTGGCTGGGGACCACCCAGAGAAAAGCAGAGGATGAAAACCTGAAGCTGACTCTGAGGACACTAACAGCTGAGAACTGTCAGCTGACCACACTCCTTGCAGCTGAGTGACTCTTTTCTTGAAAGAGGATCTGATTGACACGTCTCCATACCTGCCACAGTTTACCTTGTGTGCCGTGTGGATCTACTTCATAAAAACATTTGGGGAGCAGCTCCTCTAGGGCTCTGGTAGGCGTCTCTTCCTGAGGGGAAGCAGAAGTGAGAGGTTAGTGGAAAGAACTACAGCCTCCATGGTTATAGTTGATCTCATGGCCACAACTGGTACTCTCATCTCTCTCATCTACTATCCATCCCAAAGTCCCCTGACCCACTGCTGGCCTCAGTGGTTTCCCTCATGGTGTGTGCCAAACCTTCATTCCTGTGGTGTCTGAACCCTGGTTAACTTTATCCATGGATAGCCTCTGCCACAACATTCCTATATTTGTCACAATTAGTTAAAAGCATCCTAAGAGGCACCCATGGGGGTTGTTTGAATTCCATATATGTTCCTTCCTGCTCTCATCATGTAACAGCAATCCTATTTCCTCCTGCCGATCACAGTCACTTGCCCCTCACAAGATGGTGACTTCCCTTCTTGCCTGCTGTTCCCTGGCCACAGAGAGCCCAAGGTGTCCAAACAGAAGCTATAGTTTGTGGTTCCATAGGATCTTTTCTATGTCCCCTGGCTAGAATGCACTCATGTTGGGGATCTGGACCTCTAACCCTGCAGAATCCAGAGCTGTGGGGACCCCCTGGGGGACCCTGAGAGTTATGGTAAGTGAGGCCACTCCTGCTTCCTCCTCTTGGTTCCTGGCCCCGTGCATTCCTCCTATTGGGCACGCAGTGCCATGTAAAGGTCTATAATTCAATGTCTATACCATGTTCTGGAGGATGTTATCTCCACCCTTGCAGGGTATGGCCTCTGAGCTGGTGCCTCAGCTGTACCTTAAGCACACTAAGCCAACACTCTATTTAGCCAGTAGCTTCTAGATGTGGCAGTACCTGATATAACTAGTGAATCTGTGAAATGTGTTCTTTGGCTGGACACTGTGCTATTTTTCATGTGTGTAGATAAAGCATTCTGTAAGTGGCATGATTGTAGTGCTGGCTGGGACCTGCAGGCAAGAAAGGCAAACCCATATCTAGATTAAGTATCCATTCCTGTGAGAAGAAGCACTGACTCTGCCAGGATGAAAAGGACCCTGTGTAGTTCATTTGTTACAAAGTGACTGTTGTTCTCTTCAAGGAATATTGTCATACACAGGGCTCAGCAATGGTGTCTGTTGCTGACAGGTTGAACATTCAAAGCAGGTAGTCACTACCAGATCAGCTTTGGCAAGTGGAGTCGATGATTTTCAACCCATGCAAAGCCTCCATCTCTGCCACTGTGGCCATGTCATCTATTTGCCTAGTATGCCAGTGAACATCAACTGGTCAAATTATTTTGTCTACCTGGTTGTTTGGTGCCCACACCATGCGAGTGCTTTCTGGTGGGCATTAACATAGGATACAAAAATCTTTACATCTGTGCCCACTCTCATATGCCCATCCACACGTCTCTTCCCTAGACCTCCTCGTCTCTGATATTCTAATTTTTTCTGCTTTCAGACCCCTGACCATTCACTACTGTCCATGAGTCTATATGCACTTTGACTTCAGGCCATTTCTCCTTTGACACAAAGTGGATGATCAGGGGCACCTCCTGAATCTCTGCCCATTGAGAAGTGTCTTTCGCCCAGTGTCTCTTCACTGTCTTTCACAGTCACTCCTGAATACAGCTATCATGCAGACTGCATGCACTTTTTGGTTTTTGCCCATATATGAAATCAATCCACTCATAAACCAAGTTAGAGGTTTTTCCTCCTCTTTCAAGTGACTAAATGGGAGTCCCATATGGCTACTGGTGTGAGCAGAAGAGGGATACTGCTATATAGTGGATGCTATAATGGGACACGGATACATCATGGGGTCTGGACCCACTGTTCACACCACATGCTTGTGTCATCTCTTTCTGCTCATGTTTAGTCCCAGATGTACTATTTCCATCTCATAATGGATTGCTACTGAGCCCACCTAACTTTACCACTTATTCCTGACTCTTGATGGGCAGTCCTAGACTTGTAGTCACTTGGTACTCCAGGATGAGCATTCCAACTCTATCAGGGCCCAGGAGTATTCTGTTTTACAAAACTGTAATCCTCTGCAGCACATGGTGTGACCTTGCTCCATAACCCCAGAAGCCTGGACTGGGACTCTTCAACTAGGGCTTGCCGTAAACTTCATACCATATCTTTTCCTGCTACTGACATCTCGAATAACATAGAGTGTTCTTCGGGGCTGCATGCTTGCAGCTGGGACCCGCTGCACAGCCATTCTACTCTAGGCCCCACTCAGAACTGGCGACCTGCCATATCACCTGGGATATAGGCTGGAGTAGTTTTCCTAGGTGTGGAATGTGTTGCCTCCATAGCCTGAGGCTTAATAGGCATTGTAGTCAGGTCTCCTTCCATTATAGTACAGATGCATGATGCAGCAATCTG